TTTTCCTTTGAGTGTGTGTAGTCCCCATGTGTGGAAAATTTGAAATCGACGTCTAGTAGTAAGGGGGTCTCTCGTATAAAAGTTTTGCAGTGGGGGAGATCCTAGCGCCGGCTCTACCATACCTTAAACGATGAACGAAAGACATTCAGTAACCGTAGGAAGCTGCCTACTGGTTACCAGAGGGTTCAATTCATAGTGAAGAGCTTCGCATTAATCATCATCAGCAACAACCAGAAATTTCCTTTCTTCAAAAAAGTGCTCAACGAAAGAAAGGGAGCGTATATATATATATATATATATATATATATATATATATATATATATATAAAAAGAGAGAGAGCTGCTAACTCTTTAGCATCTACTTTCCAAAACAATTTAGTTAGTTATGTGCCATGCATGATACATGCTTAGACGATCATGTATCTTTCGCTACATGAATGACGAGGCAGATTTTTTCCCGCAGTTGGTTGCCATTTCTTTCTGCGGTAACAATTTATCCAATGTTAACAATATCAATACAACCAAATCCAAAATTATTATGGATATGATCGGAACCAAAAAATACCTCTAATAATAATAATAATAATAATAATAAAGCTAGTAATAATAATTCTGAAGTAGGTATATATAAAATAAACTGTCACAGCTGCTCTTCACAATACATTGGGGAAACTTGCGGAAATTAAAAAGAAATGCATCTATGAACACAAAAAGGATTGTACGGAAGATATTTTTTTTAAATCCATTTGTCAAACATAGAGATAAATTCAACAGAACTATGATTTAAAGAATGCCAAACTTATTAAAAGTGGAAGTAAATTACTTAGACGGAAAATTCTTGAGAGTGCCGCTATGGAATCATATCAAAATATAAATGTACGCCCCGGATTTTGTCAAATACCGACATTCCTAAATAATTAAAAGAAAACGTGCTAATACCCTTGGGAAAGGTGTGAATCCTCTTCTTCTCCCTCCAGCTATGGGTAAATAGCAGGACAGACTGGGTTCTATAACCTTGGATGGCAAATGGTCTTGGAGAAGGACAACTCTGAAATCAAAACCTGCGGAGGGTCGTTTGGGGACCTTGTGGCACGTAGTGCACCAGGTCTCTGTATTCGGCCCTGTGGATGGTCCTGCACAAAACCTACACCACTATAATCAAATCTTATGTGTCGTTGTCGGGATGTCGGTTTCCTTGGAACTGATCTGCTTGACACTCATACCTCGAATTCGACAGGAGAGTCGAGTATATATATATATATATATATATATATATATATATATATATATATATATATATAACATAAATTTATCCCATAGCAAAATAGTTTAATTATTGATTCCATAAAAAAAATCAACAACGCCCCATATGATAAAATTCACCTTGTACAACGCCCAAGAGGCGCTCGAGGCAGACAGAGAAAAATTAAGAAGCACAGTGTGTGTGTGATTTTGTTAGTGTGTGTGTGTGTCTGTGTGTGCGTGCGCGCGTGTGTGTGTGGGAGACACATTTTACACTGCTACGAGGGGAAGAGTCTGGGTGAAGAACTTTGATCTTAAGCAGGCCGTGTAGATAATATTCATCCCCGGCAGAAGTATCGATTCATACGTTAATAATTCTGTCATTTTTTACGGGTAATATTCACACACACACAGACGCACAAACATATATATATATATATATATATATATATATATATATATATATATATATGTTATTTTCATCACAGATATTTGCTTACCGTTTTTGTTTTTTGTTTTTTTTTTTTCGTATCTCTGGGAAAATCTTCGCTTTGTGATATTAGTTCCAAAGGGAGATAAGAGACGAGAGTTTTCACTGCCAAATAAAGAAAATGAATAAATCCGCCCGAAAACAACAACAACAAAAAAAAGGCAATGGTAATCGGAAAGACAAGGAAACTCCCCAGAGTTGACGGCGTAACTCAAAGCGTAAATAAATTTCTGATTCGATTTGCAAATATTTAATACAATTGTGTTTGCGCGCGATGCCCAAGCGCGGCATCAAATGCTGAGAACAAAATCGAATTCAAAGGATCATTGATCAAAGTTTAAGGGCTTTCTCGGCTCAGGTTACGTATGTCATTATTCATTCCCTATATATGAATATATATCGATCCACGTGCTGGTCGGACTAAGAATGTTTCAGCAATCACGATATAGACGCAGAGTGCGATGGATAAATTGTCGTCCAAATGGCAGCAATGCAGCGATCTCATTTTAACAGATATAGAGCGTGCGATGGATAAATTGTCGTCTAAATGGCGCCAAAATAAAACACCTCATTTTACCAGATTAAAATGAAAATAACACTGGCATCTCATTTTAACAGATATACATGGTGTGATGATTAAATTGTCGTCTAAATGGCGCCAAAATTAAAATAACACTGTCATCTCATTTTAACAGATATACAGGGTGCGATGGATAAATTGTCGTCTAAATGGCGCCAAAATGAAAGTAACACTGGCATCTCATTTTAACAGATATACCGGGTGCGATGTATAAATTGTCGTCTAAATGACGCCAAAATGAATGTAACACTGTCATCTCATTTTAACAGATATACAGGGTGCGAGGAGTAAATTGTCGTATAAATGAGGCCGAAATGAAAATAACACTGTCATCTCATTTTAACAGATATACAGGGTGCGATGGATAGATTGTCGTCTAAATGGCGCCAAAATGAAAGTAACACTGTCATCTCATTTTAACAGATATACAGGGTGCGATGGATAAATTGTCGTCTAAATGGCGTCAAAATGAAAAATAACACTGGCATCTCATTTTAACAGATATACAGATATATCGACACTTATCAAAATATAAATCTGCCCCCAGGATTTTTGTCAAATATCACCATTCCTGAAAGAGTTGCCTCTGTTCCAATCCAATAAAAATGTTAAATAATACAAAGATAACGATTCAAATATCAACCTCCTGTTACTTAAAAAAATATATGACACATAAATTTATCCCATAGTAAAATAATTTAAATATTGATTCCATAAAAATCAACAACGCCCCATACAATAAAATTAATCCCGTCCTTAGCCCAAGAGGTAAACGAGTTAGAGAAATAAAATTAACAAACAGTTTATCGAAATATATGGGGAAGATATCCATAAACCTAGACTTGATCATTGTAGCGATCGGGGAGCTATCCCGTTGGGAGACGTTTCGCCAAAGTAACGGTTCGTAACAAGAAGCTGTTCGAGTGGAACTTGCATTGAAATTTCTTAGCTTTTATTTGGGAGTCAACCGGTCTGATAGTGTGGCTATTTAATTCTTTTCGCCGTCGTGTGTTTATTCACAGTAATTTTAGGCTGCAGCTATGCTCAGCGGACCTTAATTAAAAGAAAAAGACACATAATCTGGCATGATCAGCATTTTGAACAGGGCCAGTATGTTCACACCTTTGGTCACGTTGACTTGTGAATTCATGCTAGAACAACCCACGACCGATCCCAAAACCTTTCCGTCTCCTCATTTTCATTCCCAAGACTTGGTGTTTTTTTTTCTTTTTAATTAACAGGAGTCGAGGTGTTTCTATTGTTACAGGTTTAGGATTGGGTTTCCGGTTCCTTCTAAAGATTTTTCATTGTATTTTACTTCCAGGTCCTCGAGTCGCCTGCTCAGAAAGAAAACATCGAGAAAACACCTCCCTGAGAAAGCAACCATAAAAAGATTGTAACACTAGTTTTATGGTCATAAGGCAAACATTCTAACCACTCAGCCATCCATCATTTATTGGCATTTCGTTTTTTTTTCTTTGATCCTGCATTATATTCTTTAACCTTCATCACCATCTTGGTTTGTTTTTTTTGCTTTGTTTTACGGTATATCAACCTCAATGGGTCATTTAATGCCGACAACATTTTTAGGATAGGTTCGTATGAATAGAATATGTATTCTTTGGTTTCGATTGGTTTGGTTTATTTTGTTTTACGGTATATCAACCTCAATGGGTTATTTAATGCCGACAACATTTTTAGGATAGATTCATATGAATAGAATATAGATTCTTTGGTTTATATTGGTTTGGTTTATTTTGTTTTACGGTATATCAACCACAATGGGTCATTTAATGCCGACAACTTTTTTTCCTGGTAATATTTTTGTTTTATCAAAAATCTATTTCTGTTAATATTTTTCCTCAAAAACGTATAGCTAGTAATATTATTTTTTCAAAAAAGTATAGCTGGTAATATTATTTTTTTCTTCAAAAACCTATTATCAAAGGCCTTGCTGTTGGACGTAGTTTATCGTCTTTACCAAGGACGCGGATGTAGTTTATCGTCATACACAGGACGAATCACCATTTTGAATAGGACTAGGAATTTTCCCCTTTTTCCCTGTTTAGGATTGGGTTTCCGGTCCCTTCTAAAGCCTTTTCATTTTATTTCACTCCCATTATCCCTTTTACGTCTTTGTAACCTTATTACCCTGCTTGAGGTGAATTTATTTACAAAAAAAGCACTTGGGTCGTTTCGATGGATAAGTTATTAAAATGTTTTCAAAAGACGCTTCGACAGCTTCTTCAGACTGAAAACATCAAGGTCATCTCCCCGAGAAATCGACCGTAAAGGGATTTTAACAGTGGCCTTAGCGGCAAATGTTCTATAACCACTCAGCCATTCCTTGTTCATTGGCCCTCTGTTTCATTTCTTTGATTAAATCCTCCATGATAGTCAGTATTCCTCATGACCATCTTCGGTCTGTAAGAACTTTCCCCGGGCGTAGAACCCGTTTGATTCTTTCCTGTTGCGCTCTTTTGTCCTACAGACTGTTCCTCCCCGTTTACTTGACAAAGACTCTAATGTCGACCTGTGAGTGTAAATAGGCGCTTGTTCGTGCAAGGAATTGCATTTTCTTGAAACGAATCCTGATGTCCGGACGGAGCGCACCAGTTGATTACCTCCCTTACCCAAGATTCATCGACACGGGCTGACTTCCGGTTAACGCAGACAATGCACAATATGTTAGTACCCGGGTGGGTTCGACGTGCATGAAAAGGCGCAATGGGGTCGGTGATGGGAGGAGTGGGAAACAAAAACAAAAAAGAAATATGAAGAAGAATAAAGAAACGGATAGAAGAAAAGAGACAAGAAATGAGAGAGATAGAAAGAGGGAGTTATTAGATGGTGAGGAAAAAGAAGAAGAAAATGTGAGTAGAAAGCAAAGAGAAGAAAGTAAAAGAGAAAAGGATAGTGAGAGGAGGGAATAAAGGTAAGGGAGGAAAAATGATGGCTCTTCTTAGAAAGAGTGGGAACCGGAAGAAGGGAGAGAAAGAAAACGTGAATGGAGTGAGGAAATGTGAAGTACAACATATAAAGGAGAGCTTCTAAAAGAGTGGCAGGCGGAGAAATGAGGAGAAACTTCGGGTGGGAGGAGAGAAATAAAGAAGAAGAAAACAAAGAGATGTGAAAGAGTGATTTAAAAGGAGTTGTTGGCAAAATAGAGAAGAAGAAGAAGAAGAAGAAGAAGAAGAAGAAGAAGAAGAAATGGAGGAAGATCTTAGAAAGAATGATAGAAGGAAGGAGGAGAAAGGGAAAGTGGGAAGAGTAAGATAATATAAAGGAGGGTTAAAAAGAGAGACGGTCGGAAGGAGGAGGAGAAAGGGAAAGTGGGAAGAGAAAGGAACGGCAAAGTAAGAGATATAAAGGAGGGTTAAAATGAGAGAGGTGGAAGTGGTAGGAGAAAATGAAGGTGAAAGAAAAGAAGAAGGGAAACGTAAGAGAAGTGGACGAAGGGTCTAGAAAGAGTGATAGACGACAGGAGGAGGAGGAGAAGGAGAAAGGGAAAGTGGGAGGAGAGAGGAACAAAAGAGTAAGAGATATAAAGGAGGTTTAAAAAGAGAGACGGGCGGAAGTAGGAGGAGAAAAGCTCGGTGAGACGAAAGTAAAAAGGAAATGAATAAGAAATGGAGGAAGGGTTTCGAAAGAGTGATAGAGGAAAGGAGGAGGAGAAAGGGAAAGTGGGAAGAGAAAGGAACGGTGAATGAAAAGAGAAGGGAAACGTAAGTGAAGTAGACGAAGGGTCTAGAAAGAGTGATAGACAAAAGGAGGAAGAGTAGGAATGAAAAGAGGGAGGAGAGAGGAACGGAAAAGTAAGAGATATAAAGGAGGGTTAAAAAGAGAGAGAGGCGGAAGTTGGAGGAGAAAAGGAAGCTGAGGGGAAAGAAGAAAACAAATGAAAGAGATATTGCGGAAGGGTTTTAAAAAAATTAATAGACGAAAGGCGGAGAAAGGGAATGTGTGAAGAGAGAGAGGAATGGATAAGTAAGAGATAATAAAGGAGGGTTTAAAAGAGTGTTGAAGGAGGAAGGAGGAGGAAGGGGAGCAAAAGAAAAGGAAAATAAGCGAGTAATGATAAGAGTTAAAAAGAGTTGTAGGTTGAAAAAAAGAAGAAGAGAAGTCAAAGAAAGAAAGAAAGAAAGAAAGAAAGAAAGAAAGAAAGACAGACGAGAGAAAGAAAGAAAGAAAGAAAGAAAGACGGACGAAAGAAAGAAAGAAAGAAAGAAAGAAAGAAAGACAGACGAGAGAAAGAAAGAAAGAAAGAAAGAAAGAAAGAAAGAAAGAAAGAAAGAAAGAAAGAAAGAAAGAAAGAAAGAAAGAAAGAAAGAAAGAAAGAAAGAAAGAAAGAAAAAAAGAAAGACAGACGAGAGAAAGAAAGAAAGAAAGAAAGAAAGAAAGAAAGACGGACGAAAGAAAGAAAGAAAGAAAGAAAGAAAGAAAGAAAGAAAGAAAGAAAGGAAAAAAAGAAGAAAGAAAGAAAGACAGACGAGAGAAAGAAAGAAAGAAGAACGGACGAAAGAAAGAAAGAAAGAAAGAAAGAAAGAAAGAAAGAAAGAAAGAAAGAAAGAAAGAAAGACAGACGGAAGAAAGAAAGAAAGAAAGAAAGAAAAGAAAAAGAAAGAAAGAAAAAGAAGGAAGGACGGACGAGAGAAAGAAAGAAAGAAAGAAAAGAAAGAAAGAAAGAAAGAAAGAAAGAAGGACGGAAGAAAGAAAGAAAGAAAGAAAGAAAGAAAGAAAGAAAGAAAGAAAGAAAGACGGACGAAAGAAAGAAAGAAACAAAGAAAGAAAGAAACAAAGAAAGAAAGAAAGAAAGAAAGAAAGGCGGACGAAAGAAAGAAAGAAAGAAAGAAAGAAGGACGAAAGAAAGAAAGAAAGAAAGAAAGAAAGAAAGAAAGAAAGAAAGAAAGAAAGAAAGAAAGAAAGAGAGACGGACGAAAGAAAGAAAGAAAGAAAAAGAAAGAAAGAAAGAAAGAAAGAAGGACGAGAGAAAGAAAGAAAGAAAGAAAGAAGAAAGGAAAAAAAGAAGAAAGAAAGAAAGAAAGAAAGAAAGAAAGAAAGAAAGAAAGAAGGGCGGACGAAAGAAAGAAAAGAAAGAAAGAAAGAAAGAAAGAAAGAAGGACGGACGAGAGAAAGAAAGAAAGAAAGAAAGAAAGAAAGAAAGAAGGAAAAAAAAGAAGAAAGAAAGAAAGAAAGAAAGAAAAAGGAAGAGCATTTTCGAAAGCACAGTAAGCGAAAGACGAACGTGAAAGAATTGGAGACTAGCGAAAAAGAAGGGGTGAGAAGTCAAAATAAAAAGCGGCAAGTGAAGAAAGGGTAAAAGCGAATGGCGAAGGCGATAAACTGTAGCCAAATAGAATATGGATGCCGGGGAAAATCTGTTTAAACCTCCGGAAGCTCACCAGCCAACATGGCGGATTTTCTATAATGGTCAATATTATATAACACTGTTCGTTAAAATCTCCAGCAACGCGTAGAGAATATTAATTCGAAAAAATTCTTACTAACTTCCTCTACCAAATATTCGAAGAAATAGTACTCAAGATAAAACTTTCCCAAACAGAAACTATGATCTGGAAATGGAATGAAAGCTGACACATATCCTGAATTCATCATAAACATTCAAGAGGTGAAATTAGTTTAGCAATAAACATTTTAAATACTCCAATATAGATGACTTATAACAAATTTATTATTGGTGATAACAGCTACTGGTCTTGAGTAACCAATTTTCCTGAAAAATCGTTTGAAGTGAATGATTCTATAAATTCCAACCGGAAGTAGTTGTGTCTGCTGGGTCAATGACTGCCAAAACTTTCCTTGAAGGGAAACGGTTTATATTAGCTTTACTATATAATGGGCGCATATAACACTCTATCGTGGGTATGACGATAAACTACATCAGGCAGCAAGGAGATAGAAACGGAAAATGTAAGATATAAGACAGGGTTAAAAAGAGAGAGACAGACGGAAGCAGGAGGAGAAAAGTAAGGTGAGAGGAAAGGGATAGGAGAGACAAGCAGATAAAAAAATTCTAATGTAGAGAGACGGGCGGAAGTAGAAAGAGAAAAGGAAGGTGGGAGCAAAGAAAATCGTCAGGTTCTGAAGAGCGTGGAACCACCTCTTAACTTCTGCTATTCCCAGGTCGATCCAGACCTGTGGAGCAAGTACCTCTTAGAGCACTTCCCAGATATTTAATTTTGGTACTTGCTTTATTTTGGTGGCGCTGTTAATATTCCTGACAATCAGTCTTCTTACAATCGATGTTTAGTCTTTTCTTCTTTTAATTAGAAATGTGAAATTTTTATTTCCTATCTTAAGTACAAATCATATCCTTACAGACACTCAAAAAGCACAACTGCCCCTTCTGAAGGTCACGACACAAAGAAGTTAAAGTCTTCCTTCATCCTTAGAGAGCGCTTTAATCAAATACTGGCGACAGAGATTTCAAGATAACGCGTAATCTCGCGTGATTTTGTTTCCACGAATCAAAATAATGATAAAAAAAATATGGCGTGAGAGGAAGACGAACATTTTGTCATTTCCATAAATGGATTTTAGATTGTTATATGTCTTGAATGCAGGAAAATTTAAAGATTTAAATATATGTTTATGTGATTGTGACTTTTTTACTCTTCTTGTCGATGCGATTCAAAATTAAATTATTCTTCCCAACAAATCAAATATAACACTCTGGAATATCAAAATATAGATGGATAAATATGGATGGTCGAAAATATATATATATATATATATATATATATATATATATGCGGAGGAGATTTCCTTCTGATGAGTTGAACATCTCGGTGTTCACGAAATAATTATAAACGAAATGGATAATTAAAGTCTCAGTTTACTTATTATCACACACACACACACACACACACACACACACACACACACACACACACACATATATATATATATATATATATATATGTATATATATATTTGGTTGGAAAAATGTGAATTTGTGACCCTGGGTTTCACGATTTAGCGATCGTCAGCTGTCTGTGAAACCCAGGGTCACAAACTCACATCTATCCAACCAAATATGTTAGCTCTATCTCTGATATTGTGCGCTTTCTAATAAGTAATGCATATAATATAATATATAAATAATATATATATATATATATATATATATATATATATATATATATATATATATATATATATATATATATATATATATATATATATATATATATATATATATATATATATATATATATATACAGAATGAGAATGAGAGAGAGAGGAGGTATGGTGGAGTAAAGGATAGCGGCTGGGGCCGAGGAATCGGGGAGCTGAGTTCGAATTCCAACTGAATCCCTTACATTCACTTACGTACTAATACTCTATTCCTTTTCTTCTTCTTCTTCAGCTATAAAAAGATAAATAGCAGGACAGACTGGGTTCTGTAGTCTTGAATGGCAACTGGTCTAGGAGGAGGATAACTGATTTCAAAACCTGCGGAGCTGTCTTTTGGGGACCTTGTGGCACGTAGCGCACCAGATCTCTGAATTAAGCCCTTCAAAAAGTGTTGTTGATTCTGCACAAAGCCTTCACCACTATAATCAAATCATATGTGCTGGTGTCTGGCTGTCGCTTCCTAGGAACTGAGCTGCTTGACCCTCATACGTTGAATACGACGGGAAAGTCCACCAAATATATATATTAGTGTGTGCAATATATATGTGTGTGTTAGATTGTGCAGCTCATACACACACACACACACACACACACACACATATATATATATATATTAGAGTGTGCATCTTATATTTTATAACATGAAACAAATTATGTAAAGAATTAAATAGCAATGTTAATGTGATTAATGGCGAATTCACTTCGCCAACAGGACTTGACGAGACATTAACTTACTATCAATTCCTTGAATAATAAGATCTTTACATACGAGTTGTTGTCACATGGAAGGGACATGTCAAGTACTTTTGACATTTTCAAATTGTCATCTTCAGGGCGCAATTTTCACATGCATAGGCAAACACTAAGACGAAATATGTGCAGATCGTTTTTCAACTGTCAATAAGTAGCAGAATAAAAAAAAATCAACTTTCGATCTGCAAATATTTCATCTTAGTGTAATAACCAACAATAATATAATCAATTGACTAAGAGCGTTATAAATACAGCTACATCCCGATCCACAATTATCTCCACTCAATAGTCTCTACAATAATTCGAAACATAACCGTTACCAACCATCAAGTTAACCGTTAGAATAATACAATAGACAACCCGCGATGCAATACAACAGACTAGTGACAATGCATTAATATATAAATAATCAAGCAATAGCAAAAAAATGTTCATGGCCAGACGATTGCGTTTAGCATGACACAGACTGTCGCCTCTAACTTTTGAATTCAGTGTCCTTTTTATATTTACATACGCTCTATCGAAGATACTGAGCATTTTAACCCATAAATATAGCTTACCTTAAAACTATATTTTATCTCTCTCTCACACACACACATGCACATCGGGTGTAACTACAAAATTGTCCAAATCTTTATAGGCAAAATTGTTTAATTGTTAGATTAAGCTTTGAACCATTGTATCATACAAATGATTAAAGATATCTTACTGGAATTCTTCGAGGCTTTTTAAAACTATTCGACTATACTTTGAGCAATAAGAATTTATAATTACTCTCCAAGCTTCACAGAAGAATCGTGATGAAATCGATCATGAACGAAAATCACATGTTCATCATTAATTAATCATAGCTAAAGATCAGAAGCACATGAACGATTGAAATAAAGTTCATATATATATATATATATATATATATATATATATATATATATATATATATTCAGGATCAATTTCAAATTATTCACGATGATCTTCGCTCTCTAAACTTTTAATTTTCTGTCCTGTAGTAAAATGTTGCCTGACAAGTTTCACGTACAATTCCATTTTCAAGTCTTTTGTCACTGCTCTTTGCACTGTCATAGGTGGAACTTCTCAATCACGTGCCAAAGGTCTTAGGGATTAAACTGAATATTTTCTAATTGATCTCTTTAAGTCTAAGTTGAAATGATGATCTTTCTTCTTGTTGTGACGTTCTGATCCAGTTTTCCCTTTTACTTTTCCCTGTTTTTGTTTTTAACTTGTCCGTAGCCATGTTACAACATAAAGAAACAAAAATGCACCTGAGCTTGCATCTGAAACAGAGTTTTACTAATCGCCCATTGAGACAGCCATACTAGTATAGAAGCGGCTGGTGATAATTATTATTATTATCTAACTCCTAATGATGAAGAATAATTATTCCTGCCATATATATAGTTTTCCCTGTCCAGAGTGTATAGAGCCAGAGTGTTGGGATAAAAAGCAGCAATAATAAGATGGAATAAAACTAGTAATAAAATAATAGTAATAATGAAGAGTGTATAGAGCCAGAGTGTTGGGATAAAAAGCAGCAATAATAAGATGGAATAAAACTAGTAATAAAATAATAGTAATAATGAAGAGTGTATAGAGCCAGAGTGTTTGGATAAAAAGCAACAATAATAAGATGGAATAAAACTAGTAATAAAATAATAGTAATAATGAAGAGTGTATAGAGCCAGAGTGTTGAGATAAAAAGCAACAATAATAAGACGGAATAAAACTAGTAATAAAATAATAGTAATAATGAAGAGTGTATAGAGCCAGAGTGTTGGGACAAAAGTAACAATAATAAGATGGAATAAAACTAGTAATAAAATAATAGTAATAATGAAGAGTGTATAGAGCCAGAGTGTTGGGATAAAAAGCAGCAATAATAAGATGGAATAAAACTAGTAATAAAATAATAGTAATAATGAAGAGTGTATAGAGCCAGAGTGTTGGGATAAAAAGCAACAATAATAAGATGGAATAAAACTAGTAATAAAATAATAGTAATAATGAAGAGTGTATAGAGCCAGAGTGTTGGGACAAAAGTAACAATAATAAGATGGAATAAAACTAGTAATAAAATATTAGTAATAATGAAGAGTGTATAGAGCCAGAGTGTTGGGATAAAAAAGCAGCAATAATAAGATGGAATAAAACTAGTAATAAAATAATAGTAATAATGAAGAGTGTATAGAGCCAGAGTGTTGGGATAAAAAAGCAACAATAATAAGATGGAATAAAACTAGTAATAAAATAATAGTAATAATGAAGAGTGTATAGAGCCAGAGTGTTGAGATAAAAAGCAACAATAATAAGACGGAATAAAACTAGTAATAAAATAATAGTAATAATGAAGAGTGTATAGAGCCAGAGTGTTGGGATAAAAAGCAACAATATTAAGATGGAATAAAACTAGTAATAAAATAATAGTAATAATGAAGAGTGTATAGAGCCAGAGTGTTGGGATAAAAAGCAACAATATTAAGATGGAATAAAACTAGTAATAAAATAATAGTAATAATGAAGAGTGTATAGAGCCAGAGGGTTGGGATAAAAAGCAACAATATTAAGATGGAATAAAACTAGTAATAAAATAATAGTAATAATGAAGAGTGTATAGAGCCAGAGGGTTGGGATAAAAAGCAACAATAATAAGATGGAATAAAGCTAGTAATAAAATAATAGTAATAATGAAGAGTGTATAGAGCCAGAGGGTTGGGATAAAAAGCAACAATAATAAGATGGAATAAAACTAGTAATAAAATAATAGTAATAATGAAGAGTGTATAGAGCCAGAGTGTTGGGATAAAAAGCAACAACAATAAGATGGAATAAAACTAGTAATAAAATAATAGTAATAATGAAGAGTGTATAGAGCCAGAGTGTTGGGATAAAAAGCAACAATAATAAGATGGAATAAAACTAGTAATAAAATAATAGTAATAATAAAGAGTGTATAGAGCCAGATTGTTGGGATAAAATGCAACAATAAATCAACGATTTATAATTGTCTTGGATAAAATAAATAAAACTTTTTATTGAGTAATTTGATCGTCTAGACGCCACTGAAGAGTCGATTGTGATGTCGACGTGTGTGTATGTAGTGCTTGTCTAATTAGAGTTTATTAACACCAATTAGTTACTCATTAACTTAATTAGCTTCTCTCATCAAAACAAGGTCAAGACAAAATTACGTTTCATCAACTCTGAAATTCGATCAAGTAGAAAATGATGAAACCTTTTTGCCGGACATTTTAAATGTTTGATTTAAATAAACAATTGACGATTTTATTTCTAAGAATTATTTTTTTTTACATCACTTGCTTTAATATAACCGTGTTTAATAAACCTTTGGGTCAGAAACAAATTTGCTATTAACAAGCTGACAGTGTAGACTTTTGGCAAACACATCATCATCCCCTTGACTTTTGTAATCATAGGGGTTGAATCTTCTCCACAACGGCCTATCAACAGAAATTCTTGTATAAGTCATATTTATCCATTGTTTGACATTGTCCAAGCAGTTTTTGTGGTGGTGTTCTCTCTTACGTCCATCTTCAATGGTGCCTTGCATGATGGTCTTGCAAGGGCTGTCGTACCTTGAAACCACGTCCCAAGGGTATTAACATATAATCTATATTAATGATTAAAATTCATCATCATCGCCATCATCTCCTTGACTTTTGTAATCGTATCTGGGATCCAAATGCAGAAATCCATATTGAATCTCATCCACGATCTATCAACGGCAGCCATCCGCATTTCTTGTATAAGTCATACTTGTCCATAGTTTCACTTTGTCCAACCAGTTTTTGTGTTGCCGCCTCCCCTACGTTTCTACGAGGATTTTCTATGAACATATTAATTTCTATAATAAAGCTCTGAAAGATAATGGCTACAAAAACCCAAAACTAACTTATATAAAAAAAAAAAAACGGAAAATGGAAAGCATAGAAAAAACAGAAGTAGAAAAATAATTTGGTATACACCCCCATACATTATTCTTGTCAAATATTTGTTTGCTTGAGGAGTGTTGGTTTATTCGACTTTCTACCGATGATGGGATATGCTTGTATTAAAGAGGGTGGTTGGTTGCAACTCGGGTGAATATAAAATGGGTTAGCATTATTCTTCATGGATGGTTGAAATTGTTCATCGTTACATTGAATTTAACGATGAAGAAATTCAACCATATTTCGTCCTTCAACAACGCAGATAAACGAAATATGACCTCACTTTCAAAATGTATATACATATATATATATATATATATATATATATAGATAGATAGATAGATAGATAGATAGATAGAGAGAGAGAGAGAGATAGACAAACGAAACATGACGTCACTTTTCAAATATATATATAGATAGATAGATAGATAGATAGATAGATAGATACAACTAGTGAGCCAGACAAACCCTCGAGATTGATTTGATTAGCAAATCAAAAATTCGAGGGTTTTTCGAAAAGAGTCTAGTTATCTATATTTATATGTATATATATAGATATATAGGTATATAGATAGATAGATAGATAGATAAACGAAACATGACTTCACTTTCCAAATATATATATATATATATATATATATATATATATAGAGAGAGAGAGAGAGAGAGAGAGAGAGAGAGATAGATAGATAGATAGATAGATAGATAAACGAAACATGACCTCACTTTCCAAGTATTTTTGAGAATTAAAGGACAAGGGTGAAACACCCAAACTTAGACGGAGAATGCTAAAACAGGCTAGAATCTTGAAGTCTTTATACGAACCGTGTTTTCTCTGTCTACAGGACAAAATACAAATAATTAAATACACTGACAAAGAAAAACTTATTAAATCGAAGGTATTAGACAGCAATAAATTGAAAACATAAAAAAATAATTAATATGACAATCATGCTAAAGAAAATTTGAATCTACGAATGAATCCTCTCGTATCTGTAAGCATGGTACCGAAGCCATTGATTACTATACCCTAGTTCTACTTCTAATACTGGATTCATTTTAGTCAAATTCTCTTTGAATATTAAATGTAGACCTGATGGATGATAATTTATTCCAACTTCTGTTAATATAATAATCTTAGTTTCATTGAAACAACCTTTCGTCTTTATTCTTTTTAGTTTAATGGAACCTACCTCTATGATTTCTCCATTAACTGATCCAAATGGGACTATTTTAACCCTTTGAATAATAACACCTTATAAAAGATAATACACGTAACACAAAAGCGAGAAAAAATTTAAAAATTGAAAAATTACAAGATCCGTTTACATACGTAAAAGCATGCTGTCTGGTTAGCGCAAGTGGTAGAGATTTGGGCTAATACAGCAACGGTTGGGTTTCGATGCAAGCTCCCATTTTTATTTGCTAATAACTACCTTCCTATATACAATAGTATCGATCCACTTTTCTAACCTACGTTAATAGAAATGGAAAGTTAGTACCAATTTAATCTTATTTTGCGTTTTATTTTCATATGGATGTTACCACCTATTTATCCTTAAAAATAATTTTAAAAAATCATATTACTCGAATTTATTTTTTATCCTTGACAATGTTTTATCCCAAAATAATATAAATGATAAAAAAAAAAGATACCTAATATTCTGACCGTTACTTTAACTGTCTCTAGCTGCAAATTATTTTTTTTACTACCTACCTAACCAACCTAGGAGACCGTTGAAGTTCAAATTCTATATTCTAACGAAATTCATTGGCCAGATTTTATCTCCTTTGAGCATTAATCACCCCATCCTCTTCCCATGGCCTCTTTCTTTCTTTTCCCTTCCCCCTTTCATTCTTTTTCCCTTCATTTCCACGAAATTCTATGGCCAGATTTTTATCTCCTCTTAGTGCTTATCACATCATCCTCTTACCATAGCCTCTTTCTTTCTTTTCTCTTCCCTTTTTTTCTTTTTCCCTTCTTTTCCATCCACCCACGACTACTTAATGCATTAGATTCCCTTCCATCTCTACATTTAAATTCTAGAAGACATTTTATGAAAATTTCCAAAGAACAGAAGTCGGGGATATTTGCTTCGATAAATGTATTTCTGGATAAAAGGTTTTAGTAACACCGTGATTCCCTACCTGACGAGACGTCTAAAAAAGGTTTTCCTTTTGATGTTGAAACAAAAATGTACAATTTTGTAGTGGATATGTGCATGTTCTAATGTAACACTGCATGAGATAAAAAAGCCGTTTTCAAGGATAAAATATTTTAACTGTTAAATAAGAAATAGTTTATCGTGTATATGTGATATGGTCCAAGGTTAGGACCATGGAAAAACAACACGAAACACAACAGTAGAAATAACAAAGAGTATATTACACAAGAAATAATACAAAGTGAAAGGGTTAGTAAGACTGTCCGACTGGTTTAGCGTGACTGCTATTAGCTCGACTCGATTCAATACCGTCTCAATCCCGTCCGTCTCGGTTGAGAGGCGTAATATATATAGAATTCGGGAGAGTTCATTCTGTCGGTCTAGGTAGGCACCATGACAATATGTATTCATAATTCATCCTTGAAAATGGTTAAATGTATAGACGAATGCGCTCGGAATAAAAGAACACTTGGACGGTTTTTTTTTTATAATTCATCATCTGAAAAGAAAAATATTATTAGAAAATGTTTAAAAAACTAAATCAAAGCAACTTGTCTTGCGCATTCAATGAAATGTGTCTGAAAGGATTGCCGCCTAAATACACAAGTATATATATATATATATATATATATATATATATATATATATATATATATAGAGAGAGAGAGAGAGAGTCATAGAGACAGAGAGAAAGAAACATACAGTGTGATGGATAAATATTTGTCGCCATTTTATATATATATATATGTTCTGCGGACGTCTTTGTAAATCGTCACGTTATGTTTTTGTGTCAATGTCTGCACATTTATGTTTTTATTTTTCATTTGAAATTTGTCGGCTAATTTTCCAATTAAATTTTTCTTCTTTTTTCCAGATTGTTGCCGTGAAATTGTTTGACAAATGAAATCGAATGGAAATTTGTGCGTGCCTCCATTTGCATGTCTCGACATTTTATTCGGGTTGAAATGAATTCATTTCTTAAAATGTTTTCCGAGCTTAGAACTCGCGAATTTTCCACAAAATACGTCTGCTTTAAGACAAACACCAGGCCTGTAAGAAGCAAATTATCTATCTGTCAGTCTGTATGTCCAATCAATCTTCATCGCTGGGAGACCGATATATATATATATATATATATATATATATATATATATATATATATATATATATATATATACATATTAGTTAAGTTACGAAAAATTGGTAATCCGTATGGGTAGTCCTAAGGAGGATGAAATCCTGAGGGAATCAATGTAAATTCAGAGCAAATAATACTGTATATGATAGAAAGAAATATTAAAAGAAACCCTCTCTAAAGTCGACCATGTCTCTCACACCACTCCTCGCTACCCTCTCTGTTAAATTACATAAAATTAATACTACCCGTCAAAAGTTTAAATTTTCATTTCATTTTTCGTTTCACCGTTTGGAAGTAATGTCTGATGATCCAATGTCCTTTAAAAGGTCTCTGGTGAAATAAATTATTACAATGGGGCCTTAAAGTGATCTGTTTTTCTTTATTATATATATATATATATATATATATATATATATATATATATATATGTATAGTGGGTGTGATGGGAAAATTGTCTCCACATCATTTAATTTTCTGCGTGCACGTTGTTTGCTTTTTGATCTTGCCGAAGCACAGAATACTAGGGTGAGTTGGGTGCCGTCTGTGAGTAAAAGAGCACTTTGACGTAATCCAGTCTGCCAGAAATTTGGAAAAGCCATGCTGTACTGCTTGGCATTCGAACCGGAAGCTACAGTACGAAGATTTTCGAGTGTTTAGGTGTCAATCCGAAGAAAGTGCAAAGGATTCGGAAATAGTTGCATGTGTTTAATGTTGATTACGAAGATTCACTTAGACAGGGGAATTTTATAGTTCTTCTATAAATCCTTATTATTTACAGTTCGTATGTAAATCCTGTCTAAATGTTTTCTCTGTATCCTTGAAACAAAAAATTATAGATTGTATGTGCGTTTAAAAATCAGTAAATTTAAACATAAGTTATTCCAAAATTCACGTAAAGATGAAACACAACTAATGCTTAATTTAATTATATAATTAAATGCTTAATTTAATTATATAATAAAATTTGAAGTTTTTAGCATCAGTTTTTGTAACATGGTAATTACTGTGTAGCGAAGAAGCTATATTTTAAATCAGTTAATTCATAATATATATATATATATATAAATATATATATATATATATATATATATATATATATATATATTATATATATATATATATATATATATATATATATATATATATATATTGGAAAATATGTTGAATAAAGAAATTCTCAGGATATTTCGTTGATAGTGTAGTCTTAAAATAAAACGTAGTTATTAAATGGCCAAAATATATCATGTCGATGGACATCATGATGTGCTTACGCTTGAAACTCAACCGAATGAGGCGAAAAGAATCATTCCGGAAGTGATGTCAGTGGTAATCTTCCGACACTTCATTTCATTTTATTTATTTTTATTGATGAACATATTATCGAATATATCAGAGCTTGGCGTTCTTCGTGTTCCAACCTCATTTTTTGTTCGTTTCTTTTTATTATGTGCTGTCCACCGAATGCATTTCCGCCATTATTTTTACACGGCTTTGTACGCATGCGTGCCCACATAGCCGCGTAATGGCGCCCATGAACGCTATTATTTTAGATTCTCTTCGCAGGCTTACAGTTTTTGTTCTATTTTCTTTTAAGTAATTATTCACTCATTTAGCTTCCACATCAGTAACATATTGCACCTTTAACTTAGGATCAAGTGACAAACAGTCCCCTTGCTTCCCTCACCCACCGCTGTGGCCAGATAATTAGTTGGTATGCTGATGACATAGGTATTCATAGATGGGATACGAACGATCATCGTCTACTAAGTATTTTGCTTTAATCTCTATCTATAAAAGGCAGGATGTGTGTGTGTGTGTGTGTGTGTGTGTGTGTGTGTGTGTGTGTGTGTGTGTGTGTGTGTAACGAATGCACGGCCGCAATTTTCGACGGATTTGCACCAGAATTTACATGCACATGCTCCAAGTTAGCGGAAAGGCCAAGACCGACTTTGAATTTCCCAACTCCCATCAATAATGGAAACAATCGATTTTTTCATGCTTCTACGGCAGTTTTTATGTAGTTTACGGCCATTTTCTACTGGACATCGTGAGAGCCAATAGCTGGCTGCCACGAATAAGCAGGAAAATTCTATTGGCCATCGTGAGAGCCAACAGATGACTAACACGAATGTTAACCAGCATGCAAAAAAAAATCGATAGCTGCATTCGTCACAAGTGGGAAAAATTTAAATCTGCATAGCACTTTACTCCAATTGGCTCATTCGCTTGCTTAAACTCAACGTTGATTCTGATTCCGCAGAACTGGGTTGGGTGTGAAAAAGTATTTGTTGTTAACATTCTTTTTTCATTCGGTTTTTCCAGTTACGAGTCCTTTTTTAAAGCTGGTCGTTTTGTGTTCATTTTGTTTAGTTCTTTTTTCAGATTTAATGTTTAGTATAGAGCTTAGAAAAATTTGCAGTGTGAGATAGGCAAGAAGTAAGACATGTAGCAACATCAGCACGGCAAAGGGCACTCCTTTAAAGGCAAGGAAGGGCAAAAATATTTTAATTCAAGTGATAGCGATTGCTGTATGAGTCGTACGATTTTAGAATCAAGCACGGGCAACGCCGGGTCATGCTGCTAGTATACTTTAAACGCATTCTCTTTTTCTCTCCTCATCAAATCGCATACCATTTGGTATTACCGATTTTCCGACATCACGACTTTTGTTCATTGAGTCCATTATTAATTAAAACTGAAACATTTAAAATAGATCGATCAATCATTAATACATCTGATCTAACACTATCTAGATTTGTTCTATAAAAAGAAAAAGAAAAAACTACAACACATATCAATTCTGCATTTAATCCCCTTTGAAGTAGTCCTCCTCTGAAGCCATACACTTCATCCAGTGACGTTTCCATTGATGTGACAGCGAACAGCCGCCTCGTAGCATTTTCTTGGAGTTCCTCGTCGTCTTCAAATATTTTTTCTTTTAAATGGAATTTGATTTTTGGCAAAAGGAAAAACTCGCAAGGTGCGAGATGGGGGATGATATGTTTGGCTAAAAACTGCTGCACAAGTCATGGTCACTGAT